GGAGGAATCTGCTGCAGCATTTTGGTGCAATATCCTGAAACATCGCATGCAGCCGGTGACTGAGCTTCAGACAATTGAGGCAGGTCCAAAGTTGGGACGACGAAGTCAATGTCGCAAGGCGACTGCGACGACCTGGACTGGTCAGCATCGAGCTTCTTGCCGACCGAAGGACAGCAAAATGCTTTGCGCAATGAACGACACATCTCCGACCAAAATGAGACCTGGAAAAAAACGGTTACAAGTTCGACGATACTGATCTGTTGGCTGACTGACTTTAAATTTAAACAATAAACTCAACCTGCACAAATAAATGTAAAAAGTCGAAAAACCGGGAATCAGATCTCATGATAATCATGTGTTAGAGTCTGCGAGGATAAGACTACTCACACGAATTGGATTTTTCACCTTGTTATGATCTAGATTCAAGCTTTAGGCTCTGGCTCAGAATGCATCGCTTTTTAATTTATATGTATGATTGTGTAAAATCTTCAAAAAACTGCCTTATAGCACATCACAATGAACAACTCATTAAAACAGAAACTATTGATGATGTTCAATATATATGCAATTATGTCTTTGGTAAGCAATTAAGCCTTTACTCTTCCCCAATCGCTAAGATGCATCTCCAGATAATTTATTTGAATTTCGATGGTCTTCAATGTGGCATCTTCCATGAGCTCCTGCTACTACTGTGCGCCAGACAGCAGACGCCCAGTCGCTGGGTTAGATGCTTCCTTTGGCCATGACAGCAGACGCCCAGTCGCTGGGTTAGATGCTTCCTTTGGCCATGTTAGCTCGTTTGTTCCTTGTAACAGTAACTTAGCTTAGTACCTCAAATTGATGTAATTTCTCAGACGCCATCGATCGGAAACCGAACTAATTAAGTCCCAATCTAGTATACACAGTATACAAATGTTAAAAGTGCAGTCTAGGTCTATCAATACTTAAAATGTCGATAAGGGAAATTTGTGCCGGATCGATGTAAAATATTGTGAACTTGGTACATGAATGCAATCGTTTATGCCACTCTTTATTGTTTAAGTTTACGAGTTGAAATTTTAGAGGAGGGAACCCACTGTTTCACTGCCAAGTCAAGTTGTTTTCTGCCAGCAATTAAAGGCACTAAACAATGTACATACAACTTGCTCGGTGCAGTCACTGCAGTTTGAACGTATTGGGGGCATTAGCGATACCCGATTTGAGTGTGCCGAAACTACTATTCTGCCACGCATAAGGGTAGCTAAACCACCGCTTCCTTAACCTGATTTTAATGATGCTCCCATCAATTATGAAGAGCCCAACTAATAATATATAGTCAAATTTGTCGTTAGTGTTTTGATTCTTGAAATTAACTTTGAGCACATCACCTACTGAATCATTGGGCACATGGGTTCCCTATCACTATCACCTGTCTGGCTGTCACTGCCCGGTACTTCAAAATCAATATATATTTCCTTTCAATTTAGGATGTCAGCCATTCAGCACGCGCTCCGAAATTTCTCAGTACAAAATTCCTTTTTTTATTTGGCTGTAGCCGCCTCCTCCAGAAGTCCTTGTGTGTTGTGCTCTACTTTCACCTTCAGCCGCCTAACAACCGTTAGGTTGCACCAGAAGTCCTGACACACTCTGGGGCCGCATAATCAAAAATTGTTAAGAGGTCGCAACTCCGTCAGCCAATTGCTGACTGCATTTCAAGCGTAACCCGCAATACATAAACTAAAAATTATCCGTTATGCGTTCTTATATCCGCTTATGATAGTACGACCCCAGGTCCATTGTCACCTGCTGGCGTACGGCCACGGCCCGCGTCCTCCAGAAGAGTTCAGTGAGCGCGACCAGCACGGCAGCGGCCATGCCCACCCCGAGCACCGCGAACACGCCTCCCACGCTGCTCAGGTCCAGCGAACTCGCTGCAGTAGCCGACTTCTTTGGCTCTTCCGGCTGAATATATAAAAAGAAAAGNATGCGAGTATTACTGAAGATACGTAAAGCAACCTCTTTATGTAAATAAATACAACAGAAATTGAATGTGAATTGTAAATAGAGTATAACCTCAAAAAGTTATACATGTAGTAGTAAATCATCAAATTTAGCAAATTTAGGGTATTCAATATAAATAAAATTGTATTATTCTGTTATTCATTTTCCCTCTCACCCGACACTGGTCGCCTGAGTCGCAGGCTGAATAGCAAACCTATAACAATTTCTTCGGATTCCGGACCATTTTTGCCGCGTGCAAGCCGCTCACCGGAAATTGCATGTCAATCAGTGGCCGAAATTGACTTAGGCAATTTATTGCAGCCTCTACCTCAAGCCTCGGATAGATTTTTAATTCGCACACGTGATGCCGAGGTGTCGGTTTGGACCATCATTGCTCAAAACAATTATTATCCACGGTCGAAAAATCCAATTCTGTCCAATGTCAAGACTTATTTGTAAAAAAATGAAACAAAATATAATGTTAAGCCATTTAGCAGATTCAACAGAATAATTAGGTTCTTAATTAATCTGTTAAATATAATATGTTCTAACAGTCGACGGGTCATGGAGGAATCGTTTCTCTAGACTCACAAAAGCTTATTCGGTTTGAACACAATTTCTAAAAGTTCTAATGTTGTGCGCCTTGATTCCTCAAAGGGACTTCGTTTATATTTTTTTCTGCATATCAGCTAAAAAACAGCATTTTCGTTGCCGAGGAAAATGCCAATTGCAAAGGTGCCATAGACTGAAATAAATTTAAATTCTTTTGGACCGAGCTTATTCCCTCTAAACTTCTGAACAGTGCCTCGAGAGAAGAAGCTAAAATGTCCCCGAAGCCTGCGAGCAATAAACTGATAAAACACGTTCCTCATGTTAAGAGATTATAAATTGTCATTTATTTTATTATTATAATAAAACTTTTCACTATATGCTTGAAGTGTGAAAAATTTCTTAGAGAATTGCCATATATCCAACCAGAAACGGTAAAATGTTCTCTCAAATATTTGCCGAATGCGACAGTTTTTCTCAGTCGTCTCAAATACTAATTGATTAATTGAATCATAGCTTCTTCTCTCGAGTGTAAGCAATGAGCTAGCTCATTAGACGGTCTATCCAAATAATAAACAACGTTTCATCGCAACGAGGCGTCTTATCACAACTAGGCGCTAACAAGGCGTATCGACTAACAGTTTCTCGTTTGCCAAACTTCCGAACAATTCGCTTGCCATCAGGGTTCGAAGGATTGTCGTCAATGGAATTATTTACAATTTTTCTCGAAATTTTGTTCTCAAACCATAGGAGATTATTTTTTGCTCAAGATTTAAATTATATGCAAAATTTCATGTAAGATTCACGATTATAAATAAAAACTAAATGCAAAGTAAAAATTTAAAGATTTCAATAATTTTTATTGTGTTCTTACAATGAATCATAGTGAATCAATTTACAAGTTGAACGAAGCATTTTTGTTATGGACGCATATCTTCGTAATCAAGTGACGAATAGAAAAATATCTCAATTTTGTGTTTACGATCATTTCCATTTCTTAAGTATGTTCCATATTAATCACATAGAAGTTCTTCTGTCACTGTTAATTTCTTCGTGCATTTTTAGATTTTCATCAAATTCAACAGTGTTGATCTTGAATAAATAGATTCATTCAAACAAACAGCAACGTAGATTTAACAGAGATTATATCAATAGAATGAATTGTCGAGGATTTTTAATGCAAGTTAAATGCCGGCCTTATCGGCATCAATTCACTCGTTAAAATCAAAAGCGATCAGATGATCGATGAACCATCTCGCTCGGTCCGGCCCTAAATCGCCGCTCGAGTTGAGTTCAGAGTAGCAAGATCTTGAGATGATCTCGCCATCACCTCATTAGCATGAGATCTCCAGAGGTCTTTGTAGTGAATGCCCTCATCTCTGATTTCATGGCCTGGGGTTATGAGCTCAGTTCTAATATAGAGTCACCAGGAATCAAGGGACTAAATCTGGATCCATCATTACGTATGGGTGAAAAGGAGCTTGCAAGATTCATGGCTACACTGAATTCACGTAGTGTGTGTTCTAAATGATTACAGGAAGAACTGCTAACCGTCAATATTAACGGTTAGATTTTATCGCTAAAGAAAGAGATAGATTCCTGACTGCGTAGAGCAGGCAGTGCATGGCACTGAAATATTAAGCTCGGTAATAAATAATTGAAGCACTGTGTTCTGATTAGAAAGAAGCGAAATTTTCCAAGTTAACTTTAGTTTTAATCTTTTATTTGAATACTTGCAGCGATGTTTCACCACGTAATCCCATAAAGATCATGAAAGAATTCTGGACAACATGAATTGATTCAAACGTCACTCGCAGTCTCTGGCTACCAATACACATTGTCTTTTATATTCTCTATTAATCCCGACTGTTACTTACTTTATATGGCAACGAATTCTGTAGAAATCTGTGCTATGGCTCGTATTGGGTCCAAAATTGAACCATTTGTGGATTCACCGAGATTTTAAGCTATTTTTTTCGACCTTGCTGCTCTCTTGTTGAAACAATGGAATTGTATAGTTTATTACTCGAAAATTTTCTATTACTGTCATTTTACCATCAACTTTATCCATTTATACCTATAAAAAATTTCCTGACAGTTTTTTGAAATTTTTTATAGGAAGAAATTCACGTGCACCAATAATTCTGCCTAATATTTGAAGAATAATTCAAGAATTATGGCTTGCTAACACATAGGGGAAGTAATCTATTCATTTTGTAGGCCTCCGGACAGATAACAATTCTGAATAATGCTGACTGATTTGCATGTGAGGTTACGGAGTTTGAGCCGGCAGCATGAATATTCATCCAATAAGCGTACAAAAGACTCGTTCTGAATAGATCGCGACACAAGTCAAAAACTTGAAAGCGTTTGTTACCATCAACCTAACCTTAATTTTCTGGATGAAAATATTGCTACAGAGACAAATTTATCAAATTGTAGTAACAGGATAAATATACCATTAGAGGACACGCGTTTTTATTAACACCGTGAACTGTTTTTTGACATATTGGGAGAATCTGGTGAACACAGATGCTATGATCAGATTGCTCACTATTGGTGGTGTGGGTGAAGAATTTATTGGTACTTGTAATTTTTAGGCAGGTTTCATTAATTTCATTATTTTTCTGCTCATTTGACAAGAAAGAATACAAATTATGTTTTTAAATAGTTTGAAAATCTATTAAGGCTTATTTATTATAAGCATTAAGTATAAATTCAAGCAGACTTTTTAAGTTAAAGATCATTAGTTTAGGAGCTGAGGATTTTTGTTCTCAAATTTATGAATGCCAAAGACGTTCGCACAAATTTCCTAATAATCAATTCCAACTTTAAATTTTTGTGCAACACTAATAGAGGAACACGTATTTTAGCTAGTCAACACTGAAAATTTCTACACATATTTGTTAAACCAAAGAGGTGTCGTCCTATTAAAACAATCATTTAAAACGTAGTAGATATATATAATTTTTCGCAACGAACAGTGAAATTAAGGAAAGGTTGTTAATATTGACTGGGAATGGACAAAAATGTGAAATATGGAATGTAGTATTTGAAAAAATGAAAGAATAAAGTTCGACCTATTACTTTAAGAGTTTCACGAATAAGCATTCTGTAATTTAGTTAACGTATAGAAACGTATGGCAAAGTTTTTGCTCATCGCAAGCTGTTATGTTTGTTGATCTTTCGGCGGTCTCACTACGTTCATCTGAAAATTTACAATCTAGATTTCATACATACATAAACATCACATTTAAAGGACGCAACACAATCCAATTTGTGACCATCATTTTACAAGAGAATCGAGGCCGGAGGAGGTGGAACACCAAATTTTTCAGTGAGATCTGGACCCTTCATTTCAGGGCACCTGCTCAAAGGCTCCACAGATTTGACGCCTTGCGCCGAATGTTCCGCTAATAAATTTGTTCTAGAAGAAGATGATGTTAAGCCAGTACGATTCTTTGGCGACACTGATGTCAAATTCCCCATTTCTGAGGAATAAATCGTGTCATTGATGTTTCTTCTTGGTAGTGTCGATGAATTGTTTCCCATTTTAGAAATCGAGATATGGCTGGCCGGGCTTGGATCCTTGAAGGTGCTCGTCTGGACTCTGGATATCGTCGTTGCTCCTATCGTGGTTGGCGAAATTGTATATGTGTCCATGGGAGACGCAAGTCGTTGCGAACAATGAGGGGCGTGGCTAGAAGTGGGCTCCTGCTGTCGAGATAAGTTTACAATGAATGATTTACTTCCTCCACAATGACATTTTTTCTTCTTCAGCATAAATCTGAAAACGAAATTATTCATATGGATAGCTAACTTTGATTCACCTTAAAAAATGTTCAGTCTTAGAGGAGTCCATTAGCATTTCCTCAACAGTCGCGGTAAGCGTGAATAGTTCAGGTATGAAATTGCGAGTTTTTCCTTTTTGGGTTTTAAAAAGCGTTTTGCATACATCGGTGCTTCAGCAAATGGTACGAAATGAAAGTAATAATGATAGACCAACAAATAATGATGAAGTGATAATTACAAAGAGAAATTTTGGGGTAAAGTAATACGTGTTGCATAGGAACTTACTTGAAAGTGCCCGAATGAGGTCATCTGGTCGACGTCCAATCTCGATTCATGAGGGTTTTGGTGCAGATAAGTAACATCACTTGGTTGTCTTAGCTGCATTAGGTGTTGATTATAGTTACTACTCTGAGTATGATGTACGGGAGGAATCTGCTGCAGCATTTTGGTGCAATATCCTGAACCATCGCATGCAGCCGGTGACTGAGCTTCAGACAACTGAGGCAGGTCCAAAGTTGGTACGACGAAGTCAATGTCGCAAGGCGACTGCGACGACCTGGACTGGTCAGCATCGAGCTTCTTGCCGACCGAAGGACAACAAAATGCATTGCGCAATGAACGACTCATCTCCGACCAAAATGAGACCTGCAAAAAACGGATGCAAGTTCGCCGATACTCGTCTTTTGGAGGACTGATTATAAATTTAAACAATAAATAAACTGAACCTGCACCCAAAAATTTGTAGAAGTTGAAAAACATAAAATTGGATCTCATGATAATCACGTGTTCGAGTCTGCGAGGATAAGACTACCACACGAATAGGTCTTTTCAACCTTGTCACGATCTAGATTCAAGTTTTAGGCTCTGGCTCAGAATACATCGCTTTTTTATATGTGATGTATGACTAGGTAAAATTTCAAAAAAAAAATGCATTATAGCTCATCAGAATGAACAATTCATTAAAATAGAAAAAGGTTGATGATACTATTCATTATTTATGCAATTATTTCCCTGGTAAACAATTAGGCGTTTATTCTTCCTCAATCGCTAAGATGCATCTCCAGATAATTCATTTTGTGTTTCGGTGGTCATCAACATGGCATCCTCCATATGCTCCAGCTACTGATGTCTGCCAGACAGCAGACGCCTAGTCGCTGGGTTGGATGCTTTCTTTGGCCATGTTAACTCGTTTGTTCCTTGTGACAGAAACTTAGCATAGTACCTCAAATTGATATAATTTCTCAGACGCCATCGACCGTAAACCAAACTATCAAGTCCCAATCTAGTATACAAAACATTAAGAATGCTGGCGTAGTCGAACTATACTTAAATTGTCGATAGGTGAAATTTGTGCCTAACCTGCTGAAGCATTGGCCACATGGGTCCTCTATCACTATCAGATGTCTGGCTGTCACTGCCCGGTACTTCAAAAGTCTTTATATCTTTCATTTCCGTTTAGGATGCCAGCCATTTATCACGCTCTCCGAAATTTCTCAGTACCCAAGTCACTTTTTTATTTAGCTGTAGCCGAAGCACAATTGCCTCCTCCATAATCCTGATGTGTTATATGCTCTACTTTCACCTTCAGCTGCCCAACAACCGTTTGGTTGCACCAGAAGTCCTGACACACTCTGGGGCCTCATAATCAAAAATCGTTAGGAGGTCGAAAATCCGTCAGCCAATTGCCGATTGCATTTCAAGCGAAACCCACAATACATAGGCTAAAAATTATCCGTTATGCGTTCTTATGCCGCTTTTTAGCGCATTTTCTCATTTATGGAAAAAATGCTTTGTTGTGCTCGCCATTTCCGTCCGTCTGTCCGTCTGTCTGTCCGTCCGTGACTTCACATTTTCGTCAACGAGAAAATGCGCTCTCTTTCACTCACTGCAGTGAGTACTGAGTTATATTTTTGATAGTACGGCCCCAAGTCCATTGTCACCTGCTGGCGTACGGCCACGGCCCGCGTCCTCCAGAAGAGTTCAGTGAGCGCGACCAGCACGGCAGCGGCCATGCCCACCCCGATACCAGCGGCGGCGCAGGTCGCGCAGTTTGCCGGACTCCTGCAGCCGCAGCACCGCGTCGTTCACCAGCGCGCGGTACGGCGAACCTTCCAGTCCACAAATAACTCTTTATAATTGCTACAATTAAATTGATAGGCGAAACTCCAATTCCATAAATAACTCATTATAATAGCTACAATTACCGGTGGATTGATAGACGAAACTCCAATTCCACAAATAACGCATTATAATTGCAACAATTAAATGGAGAGGGGAACCTCCAATTTCATAAATAATTCATTCTAATTTCGAAAATTAAATTAATTGGCTAAACTTTTGCAGGAAAAATTACTTGGTCTACTTTAAGCATTCAATTGATCGGTGAATCTTCCATTTCACAAATAACTCATTTTAATTGCTACAAATAAATTGATAGGCGAAACTCCGATTCCATAAATAATTCATTCTAATTTAAAAAATTCAACTAATTGGCTAAATTTTTATGGGGAAAATTATTTGATCTACTTTCAACATTCAATTGATCGGCGAATCTCCTATTTCACAAATAACTAATTTTAATTGTAACAATTAAATTGATAGATAAAATTTTACTCTACAAATAACTTCCTTTACTTTCAATGCTAAAATTGAAAGATTTAGCTTTCATTCCAAAAATTACTTCGACAATCATCGTTAATATAGTGCGTGTATTAACTATTAATTTTTGGTTATAATTTCAAGTGTTTAGTGGTGGGCTGTTTTCATGTCTCCTTATGGTAATTCATTGCACATTTTGCTGGTGCAATAGTTTTTCACAGAAATAAATTTTATATTTTAACGTACAATCAAATTATGAACGTTCTTTCATTCTGCTCTTTTGTGTTGGCAAATGATGTAAAACTTTGAAATAAGCATTAAATAGCGTTGAAAATATTGGCTGAATAATAGTCATGTCTGGGCATTCGTTTTCGATGGCATAACTAAGCCGCAATCTCTTGCACTGTAACTGTCTCAAACATATGTATAAAAATACTCCGAATATTGTGAAAATGGTTCGACTTTATTGTCTAGGCTCATCAGATGTCATAGTCGTGACGCAATCTACTTTTCAGAACTTGCTCTTAAAGATGAACAGATAAGTTTCTGTACTAATCTTCTGATTTTTAACGATAAACATACCGGTCTCAAAGTTATTCTATGAAAGATTAATTAATGTGTATGAACTCGCGCGTTTATAAGTTATACCAAAATATTTGACTAGTTATGTCTTAATTATCAGTGGATGAACTAACGCGTCTATAAGTATAACAAAAAATTTGACTAGTTATGTCTTAATTTTCGGTGGATGAACTAACGCGTCTATAAGTATAACAAAAAATTTGACTAGTTATGTCTTAATTTTCGGTGGATGAACTAATGCGTCTATAAGTATAACAAAAAAGGTGACTAGTCTAGTCTTAATTTTCGGTGGATGAACTCACGCGTCTATAAGTTTTAACAAAAAATTTGACTAGTTATGTCTTAATAATTATCGATGTATGGACTCACCCGATGGCAGAGCGATGCCGTAACCTTTAGCATCGAGCAGCCCTCCCACTTGCGTGAGGCGACAGTCTCGTTCCGTCACATACTCGATGCTGGAAGACTCCATGAGGAACGCGTACTGGCCGTTGCCACGCAGCACGCGGTCCACTCCTTCTTGGTTGCTGCTCGTGTACACTGACGGCCTCTGAGACTCCATGAACGCAAACATCTTCTGGTACGTCGGAACTTTCGATGTGCTAATAAATTGGACAGAAAAATCGTTGTTAATTGAATGAAACTAATAACTGATATAAATTTAGGCTTTTTGATAAAACTAGAAATTATATCTGAAGAATTTTCGAACATAAAGTAAAATTTTTGTAAACTAGTATAATTTTTTCATTCCCAATGTAAACCTTCTAGTAAACCTAACTCCACTCGTCCCCAATCAAAATCGAAGCCCTGACCGGGACGTGTCAATTATTGCTTTCAACCCAAACTGAGAAAGCAGCTTCAGGTTTTCTCACCCTCGCTGTTCTTTATAAAGCGCTGACAGAAGTGGCGATTCATCGATGAGCCACCTACAATCTTTCTGGCCCTAGGGCCCAACTACAACTTCCAAGTCTAATTCTTTACTTTTTTCGAACGAACTTTGAGAAACTTCCAATTCTTGAAATTTTTTGCCACAAATATTATTGGATTCCACCATACTTTTAAATTAATTAATAATTGAATATTTATTAAGATTTCTCAATTCCATATAAATACTTATACTCGAACTACTTTCTGTTGAAGTCGAATATAATTTGATCAAGCAGTATTCATTGATAATAAAATCAATTTTATTGATCAATTACAAGAATCAATATAAGCCATAAGATAGTACTAAATATTTGTGATGATGTCAAAACATTACCTGAAGAAATTCCACGTGGGCCCCCACAACGTGATTCGTACTTTATCTTGGCCTAATCGACAGACCCGAAGAGACCATGCGCTTATATTCATCTGTACCATCATGCACTAACCTGAAGAAATTCCACGTGGATCCGCCATAGAGGGATCCGTACTTGATCTTGGTCTGCGCTGCGAGATCCTCGGCAGACTCGATGGGAGAGACCATGCGCTTATATTCGTCTCTACCATCATGCACTAACCTGAAGAAATTCCACGTGGATCCGCCATAGAGGGATCCGTACTTGATCTTGGTCTGCGCCGCGAGATCCTCGGCAGACTCGATGGGAGAGACCATGCGCTCGACGGTCAGGAACGCTGCGAGGTTGGCCGTGTACGACGAGATCATGATCAGCGTGAAGAACCACCACAGCGTTGCTAATATTCTTGTTGAGTATGCCCTGTGGAGAACCGTAGGTACCCAAGCTTATTTATACTGACGATAGAGATCCTTAAAGTAATAATTTGGATTGGAATTCGATTATATAATTATTTTCAGTGAATGTAAGGAGTTGGGTCATCATCAATCTCCATGTTAAATTTCTTAAACTTAAACTAAAGATTTTTGTGCATTCCCTTACAATTCATCTATTATTTTAGCCTACGTACACGTACTTTGTATTCATCTTCTCTTAATTAAACTTAATGATGATTATCTTACATCGCTACATCAGTCGCATTTCAAATGCCTTGTAATAAACTCTTAAGAATTCCAATATAACCATTAATGTTTGCTAAGATCAATTTCGTAATTTTCTAATTTGAATTTCAACTTACTTATCTACACTTCATCTCTAATCACTTGCATGCAAGCATCACAGGTTTCTATCCTTCGTTCACATGGGAGATCATGAAGGTGCTGATTAGATTAGGGCATGGATACTACAACCAACAGGGCTGGGAGCGCACTGTCAATGTGGCGATCTCAGCTAAATTTTGTACCCCCTATAGGCTATACCTGTTCTGTACCTAAACATTTAGCCATGTTATTGTTATCATAAACGCATAAAATTGTCATTAACGCTCACCTCGGATGCTGCTCAGTGCCTTGCTGCAGGAGACTGCCCACGATAAACCACAGCGAGTTGCCCAGGTTGAATTGAGGGACGGAACTCGGTCCCTCGGATCCTTTGTCGTTGCTCTTATCCTCGTACGGAGTAATTCTTTTCCAGGCAAAATTCATATAATCAAAATATATAAAGTTGATATTTCGGTTTAAATATCTGGAGTTTTAAAAATTTCTTGCGTGGCCCTGCTAATCCAATTTAACTGCAACGTACTTAATTTAAGACAATAATGGGAGAAAATATAAAAAATCAAAACGATTTTGCTTTCTGCCTTCTGAAATGTAACTACCTAAGTAACAAACCAATTTCCGTATGTTATACACAAAAGAAAAACCATACAAATTCCAGGAATTTATGGAATTCTGTAAATGGATTTATTGTGCGCCAAAATGCTAACACGTTGAGTGCGGGACGACCCACCAGGGTTGCCAAATGGCCTAAAAACGCCAAGTCCGCAGAAAAAGGCCTATAATTCAATATTTACGAAAAAAAATTTATAGGTTCCGGTGTAAAATTGAAATTTTTATTATTTCGGTACATTTCTAAATTTAATAAGGAAGTACTGACGTCATAACATTTTTGCCGGACAACGCAATTAAAAAACTAAGTTGCGGAATTTGTCCGGAAAAAAAGACTTTGCAACCCACCGCTAGGCCGTGTCGCACTCACCGTATAAAACATTTATGAACAAGTTAAAAATATTTAAGATTCTGGGTGAAATAAATGTTTCCAAGCTTTTTATATTATAGGATGATCTTTCGCATGAAAAGCTCCAATGCACCATACCGACATATTCATATTAATGCTAAAACTAAGTGAAAACAATCACATAATAATTAATTAATAACGTTATAAGCAATTTACTTCTTGGTTTCGTGGTTTGAAGCAAATTTTAAATTAAACTTGAATTTTATACAAATTTCTTTTTAAAATAATTTTTCCTTTTAGGAATCGTTTTCTGAGTGAAGCAAGTTCGCAATTTCCTTTTAAATTCCCTACTTTCTCTCCTATGTCAACAACGATGACAAATTGTATAATGCAGTTAGAAAAACTTCCTTGAAAGTCAACATAAATGAGATCCTGAACTTTCCAAAACTGGCCGAGCCTGTCACATGATTTATTTTTCTTCGGACAAAAGCTGGCCTTTGTGAGCAACACATGCATACGTAATTCGCTTCGCCAGTCAATTGAACCAAGATTCAGTTGACCTGTAGAGTGAAGAACTGCCTGGATTCTGCAGAGAACGTCTCTGATTGAAGGAGGTACACTTGAAGACATAGAACGAGCCGCAGTTTTATATGGTTTGGAAAAACTGCATTGAGAGCGACGTAGGAGCAGCGGCGCAATACGTAGATTCCATACGAATAAATGTATTTATTATTAATTTAAGATTACAGTCACCTTCAACGTGACCTCGTAATGGCATTCATGGGGCATTAATTGGTACGGGATTACATCACAGAGTGACATTATTTATAAGTTAAATATCTGTTAATCAATGCTGTGGTAAGTATGGTTGGTCTTAAAAATTTTGATTAATGCTGGTTTCAAATTTTTTGAATCCATTCTGCTTCAGCAGAAAATTCATACTGTACACATACATACATATTCTTGGTCTAAACTTTTATCACATGTGTTACCAATTGAAATGATCCGTAATTAACTACGATGAAAATGATACTACACTAATCTATGAATTTTGATTGAAATTTTAAATTCACGACGTGTCCGAAAATAAGTCGAGATTTATGTGTGGTATTTTACATTTTTTCTTACCATTGTACATAGCTTCTATTACCATAGTACATGTGACGAAGTTTTATTAATAATTTCTGCCGATAACGCGGGTTTGCCGGAAGATTGCATATCTAAGATTGAGGTCATGAGCGGCTTTTCTGAACTATTCAGTGGAAGGGCCTTGAGAGATACATTCATCGCCAGTAGTATACAATGATGTCAATAAGTACTTTAAAAACTTAAAGTTTCGGAAATTTAAAAAGTCATAGAAATGTTATGCATGTTATGTTTTTATGTATCAGCTATATTATATATCAGCTATGTTTTATATATCAGCACATACGAGAAACTGATTCATGGTGACAAGTGCGTTGCTGGATTTTTATTTGTTAAAACTTTTGGAAATTTTATCAATAGACTCGAAGAATTGTGAATATTATTATTTTTTAAACGTACGGTAACAAAATGTCTTCAAATTAAATTGCTCTGCTACTTTATTTCACATATGCACTCGTCAGAAAGGTGTTTTTACTGGGATAACTCAAACTTACGAAAAGGCACTGGTGTTATAACGAGAGTATATTAACCTTAATGTACAAATGAGAGAGATTTTTGCCATAATATTTAAATCCAATAGGACAGTCATCCACAATTTAACATTTTGAGCTCCATCAACAACGCTCAACTCAGTGCTAAAACCAGCACAATAAGTTATTACTCTATAATATAAGTAGTATAATTTTAGTTGGGACATTCTGATAATAATCACTAATATCGTTTGCTCCATCAACGAAATCACAACCCACAAAAGTGAATTAAGCCATCGGCTCCTACAAGAGCTTTCTTATAAATTAGAGCTTCCTTATAATACTTATTATCTCAAAAATGTTCCTGGTAAGTTGGACGCCTCCAGCTGCTAGACACCGTCACTTTTATGTCGGTCATAAAAAGAGATTACAAAAAAGGTCAAATCTGTGCGCCATGCGGGTTCATTAGATAGAGGAAAAATGTGCGCCCTGCATTCCTGAGCAGGAGATTGAATTTCCGAATACGCCGCTGAATGCGAACTTGTGGCGCCTTCAGGAGCCACAAGTTCTTCCTTAGAGCGAGCATAGAGCCGAAGAAATAGTATTGGTGCGGTTTATGTCATAGTGCGGAACAAACAAATCCTGCACTGCAGATACATTAATATGATAAATAGATACATTTTGCTGGTAACATACTTCATGATACACAGAAATCAGCTTTCTTTAAAGAGAAGATATACACTTGCCGTATTGTAAAAAGGTCGCTAAAATTGAAGTCCCATAATTTGTTAATTAAAAATTAATAGAAGCAGCATACCTGGCGAGCCAGTGCAGAAGGAGGGACACCGCCAGGTAAGCCGTGGCAATATAGAGCCACACGTCCAGGGAGAGCGGCGCCATGAAACTGAAGAAGTTAGGAGCACGTCTGTTGACGCGACGGTACAGGATGCTGATGCCTGAAACACGCCAGTCAAACAAACATATTTTCAATGATTGAATCATAATTCGGAGCTAGGATTAAAGCTGTAAATCTTGTGAATCGGTATTATAATGTAATACTGTTTTTGTGTGCGGCACGAATTTGAGAGATAAATAACGTATATATACGAATGTTTCATTTTGCATTTCTTCGTACTCTTTGAATAGAATGAAATATAAATGTAAATATTTCCATAAACCCAACTCAGCTTTTACTCTGATGCGCTTTAAAAACAGCGCAGTATGCAGCAGAGATTCTGGACATTTTCAAAGTAGACTACAATTCATTGAGGTAAAAATACGTAATTACTTATTATAAATCATGCTTTGATTGTGAATGGCACAATTGGCACATGTATTCGATAGCGACTCTATGACTAATGTTTCTTATTCATTCATGGGTGAATTAAACATGAGATTTCTTAAGGTTAACGAAGCCTCACCAAGGTTCATCCAGGGCATCGTGAAATCGACCACCTGCTCGCGCTCGTAGGTGATGGTCAGGTCACCAATGGCCAAGTCTGCCTCCTGCAAGTTGCACGCAAATCCATGTTCACATGCTTGTGCCTTTGTCATAAAACAAAAGAAAAATCTAAATTTAAATTTTATTTCCATGTGTTTCAGAACTCATCTATCTAATCGCGATTAAATTTAAACATGTGTATGATGCATGGGAGATAGAGGCATTAATAAGATATTTCAAAGCATGTGGCAATAAGTTTCTGCTTCTTATAAGAAATTAATGAGCAGGACTCTACTAGCTACTTCATACTATAAACCTTGACCACAAGAAATGTTCTATCAGCATTTTGAAAGCGTCCTTTAGAAGATTAAAAACGAATTTGTATGCTAGTCAAAAGTCTTGTCATCTGCTTGACAAGAAATTGAATCTTGAAAAATGAAAAGTGTATTCAAATTACGAGGATCTGAAGATGGATCTCGTAATTTGGGTCTTGAGATGATAGAACTCAATATCTAACTTAAATATGAAAATATACAGACGACTTTGAGAGTTGCGAAAGATGTAGAGATTTCATTTCAAATGAGGAATTCGTTGTGAGAATTCAGCTGTTTTCTCAACTCTTGAAAACTCGTTGGCTAAATTTCAACTGGGATCTAGGATATGCAAAGTTTTGAGCCAGAACCTGTTCAAGGAGTTCTCCTATCATGCCCGTCCACTTCTCGGTGGCAGGATCGTATTTGCCGTGTTGGCCATCCTTCGCCAGGCGTAATGTGAAGGCAAACCCCAGCGACTTGGCAATCTCCCGCAGCAAGTCCACGCTGAAGCCTTCAAAGCGGCTATTGCCTTCCAGATTTTCTTCAGATGGTTTCAGCATCGCGTACGGGGCTGCCTGCGTATCCACGCACACAAAATTCAAACTTTAAGATTGATTAATGCCTGAAAAATCAGGAATACTCCATGAAATCAAGAACGAGCCGATAATAGATCCACGGTAGACTATATATCTAGAACTATGAACTGGCGAAAGATTTTGAATAACGCGTTTTTTGAATGCATGTTATGCCTACTTCAGATAAACATAAATTGGTGTTAAGTATAATATTTTGTCAACATTTGAAAAAAAAGATTATCAATGAACCTCAAAACTTTGTAAACTGTATTAATGCAGCCTATTGATAATTTAACACTTTGACTGCGATTGCTTCATCTCGTACGATTATTTCATTTGTTGTAGGTACTATTATGAAACAAGATTGCCAGACAGTCTTTTTTTCCTGACAAATTCCGCGATTTAGTTTTTGTCAATTGCGTCGGCCGGCTAAAATTTATGATAGGGGTACTTCCTAGTTAAATTTAAATGAGAGGGAAATGGAATTTTTATACCGGAACATAAAAATATACAAGTATATATTGAGTTATAGACCTTTTTTGGCGTTTTAGGTTCGCGGACTTTGCCATATTTTAGGCCAGCTGGCAACCGTGAATTATGCACCACTACGTCCTGAAGAAATACATTTCGTGGTACACATATGGCCCAATACGCGGGGAACGTGTTAAGGTATTCTTAAATCAAATATTACGGCACTACATCCCAGGAAACAGAATAGTGAGTGTAGCGATACTTGATGCTGACGATATTATCTAAGTACCATGAATATTGAGTCTCGGGTCTTTTCACGTTTGGGAGGCGCAGGAAAGTTTCGTAACGCCACCAATTCTTTTGCACACAAAATTTGGATTTCAGATATACCGTCGTGATTCTGATACTGACTGTTTTTTATCGAAAGAAAAATACGTTTTAAGTGTGAATAGCGAACTTCTAAATGATATTTATTAAAAAATAACTCTTATATCTTGAAAGCAATTGGTTTTTAAATTCCTCTACAGAATATTTCAAGAGTAACTTACGAGTACAGTCGTGGCCACAAGTGTTCTGTTGCTCAGTGGCGATAAATTTCGCTGAGAAGAATGGATGCGAGAGAACGAAACTCCTTCTTTGCCACTCCAGCTAAAGGAAAAGCATTAAGTAAGTCCAGCTCTCATTAGCACCTTGAGAAACTAAATGTATGCCTAAAAAAATCTATTAGAAATTTATATTTTAAGCAAATAGCGTCAAGACCACTTCGACACTACCGCCTACACAGCTATATTATTATCAAAAATATAAGTACTGATGAATTAATTTTTTTACATTTTAGTGAACGCTTCTCTTACCGTCCAACTTTCATGAGTCCGGCTTTAGTCAACTCGATGACGTCCAGTGCGACGTCTTTCCTGAACCCTGCCTCGTCGAATCGTATGAGACCGCTGAGGCCACTCAGCTGAACCTGAGTTCCAATACAATGAATTTATATTCAATAATGAATTTCTATTCAATAATCATTATTATTATGACACACACATCTTCCCAGAGAAGTTCTGATTGACCTTTTATTTTTCCATCTTGAAGCTTGGCAGCACTGAACTGGTCATGAGAGGTTCTTCCTAATCCTTCATTTTGTTGACAATAGAAACATCGCGATTTTTTATTTCGGCCCATTTTCTTATTCTCTCCAAACTCACCGTCTGTTTTTTTGTGAAATATAGCATAAAATTTATCGAATAACATAAATAATATTCAGCTTTGCGAAAACCATAAATATTGCTCATGCAATGAGAAATAAACTCATGGGAAATTATTTCTTTAATTTCAAAATTAATGATTTTCTTGCCAACTATCAGGACCACTAAAATGAATATCTTTTTTGTAAGTAGATCAGTTGTATTCAAACAGTAGTGAATAATATTTGCCCTAATTTTATTCACGATTCTGATACAGGTACAATTTACAACTATTAGCAAAGTTTGATGACAATTGACCTACGTACTTCTAATTGTTGATATCAAGAGACCAGCGAGCGGCATTAAACCAGGCAAACTGATCACACCGAACAATGGAAATAAACAATAATATTCATAACCCGATTGATTGGAGTAGAGGCAATTTCTGCGCCATATCTTTACGCAACCGCTTCACGTACTTTACTTTACTTTACTATATTCCATAAAATAATAATTACTTTAATCCCGACTAATTGGCAAGGTAGTCTAATTCATTCTACAATATTACGTAAATAGGCAGATCATAGATAGTGACCATAGATAGGGCGCATCAACTCTGAGTATTTGGCGAGTCAGCAATGGAAAGCAATAACTTTTATCACACGACTTATAGGAGATTTAGATCATTTCTGCGCCAATATTGTATTAACATATAAATTGTGACGATGTAATGGGACGTACCCACTTCATGTACTTGGCGAGAGCGCTGCCGTGCTGCCACACCCGCTCGTCGTCACACGACAGAGGGCTGAACTCGAGGGGTCGTGACCGGCCCAGGTCATCCACAGCCGTCGCTAGGAGCCTCACGGCGTCGTACACCAGCGCCACCTCCGTCTCAAGAAATATAGACATGGGTGGTCAGTTGTTAGTGTCTGGAAAAATATAGACATGGGTGGTCAGTTATTAATGTCTGAAGAAACATAGGCATGGGTGGTCAGTTATTAGTGTCTGAAGAAACATAGGCATGGGTGGTCGATTATTAGTGTCTGGAAAAATATAGACATGGGTGGTCAGTTATTAGTGTCTAAAGAAACATAGGCATGGGTGGTTGATTATTAGTGTCTGGAAAAATATAGACATGGGTAGTCAGTTATTAGTGTCTGCAGAAATATAGACATGGGTGGTCAGTTATTAGTGTCTGTAAAAATATAGACATGGGTGGTCGATTATTAGTGTCTGGAAAAATATAGACATGGGTGGTCAGTTATTAGTGTCTGAAGAAATATAGGCNTCTCTTTTATAAATGAAAAATGATCAAGTCACTCCAAGCTTCTGTGATCTCAGTGCTGGAGCATTCAGAGGAAATCCAAGAAGAAATTGCGTGTCTTTTTGATATATAAAGAACCTTGATAGACGTGAAGCGTTATCGGGAAGGAATTTATATGCAAAATTATGAGTTACTCTTGTTTTGATTTTTGACGAGTAGTCTCTCTCATTTATTTCCTTTTCGTTGCTTTGAACGTTGCAGTCCCAGGTCACGCTAGTACTCAGGCCTTGTAGAGTCTCCATATGATTGCCGAACGCCTCCTGTTGTTTTCATTTGTGCGTCATGTACATAAAACACTTTACATCGATTATTGAAGAAAATTTGGTTATAGATCCGTAACTTACCTCGGCTTTGGCAATATTTTCGACGGCGAGATCTTTGAGCGCTTGTTGCAGGAGAGAAGATCCAGGGTCTATCAAACGCAGAGCCGAAATGTTGCTGCCGCCGTGACGGAACTCCCCGAGCTCCATGGTATGCAAGTCCTATAGCAGTAATTAAAAAATATCTATTTATTTTCATAAATTTAAGTTTTAGTCATCAAAAAATGTCGTCAAAATCTGATATATACAAAAAATCCGCGATTAAAGAATAGTAAAATTTTTCAGTTTAAATAATTACTATGTGACGTTATTTACTAATGAGAAGCAGATAGTAATTGATGATTTCACCATACAGTACCTAGTCTTAAATGTGCTTCAATAGGCAATGTTACATGAAAAAAGCTATTGGAAAACCATTTAGTTTTCTTTCTATTGACGAACAATAATGACATATTTTTTTTAATTCGTACAAAACAATGAGAGGTTATTACTATAAATACATCAAGTTAAATTGCGGTTGAAAAACCTTAACGCTTCAAACAAAAACTAGCCGAAAACGGTGGCTTGAACTAATCCAGAATAGCTTCAGTCGAGTAGAATATTGACTGCTATTTTTGACACAATTTTATTAGAATTTAAAAAAAGACCGAAAAATTTCTTAACGCAAGTTATGCAAAGGCTTGTTAATGAACATTCTTAATGCCAATATAGCAGCATACGCCATCGCCTGTGTTTTAGCAGTGCTTTATCAATAAATTCAAAATAAGACATAACTTTCAAACCGTGTCTACCGAATCATTTTCAAAGTTTTTATTCTCTAATGGAATATTATTACGAAGTGTTCTGTCGCTGAGAGCGAGCAAGAAGAAGTAATATGTCCTAAAAAAAATTTCCCTGATGAATGAGAGCATTGCACTTGGATGATTGAGACTGAAAGCATTGAGATAATGTAAACAAACCTGTATTAATTTAAAAAATCGTAATTTATGATTCTTAATAACACATTTAATGGCTGGCTACACAGCACTTAGACACTCCTGAAATTAGACAAATTAATTTCGCTATGTAATAGATGCTTTGTAAATTGCAGCGATTGTAAAACTGATGCTAGGCCATGTCAAATATTTTGAATAAAATTTATCTTGCATCGTTGTAGGGATCTTAGCTGAATATTCAGGTGTACTGTGGGAAACGGAGGGAGAATAAGAACAATAGTAACTAATGTGTGGGACGTAGATTTAGTTACGGTGTTGACGATCCCGTAGCAGTGTAAGAATTCAGAGCTGACTAGTTGTGGGACCAAAGCAAGGACTAGTTTGGTGAATTCAGACTACTGCAGAGGTATGTGTAACTGTCGATATTTATCAATATTGTAATTATTTGGTGTGTTGATACTATATGTGAGATATCTAGTAGGGAATTACCCGACTAATTGTAAATTTGATTTTGTTCATCTAGGGAGAAGTCAACCCGGATGGAAGATCACAAGAAGCTATCAAGAAGATTCAGTGTTGTGCTTGTTTAGTCTGTTACTGTGTTGCGAGGAACATCTACTGTGCTGTGCCCCAGCTTATGAAAGAAAATAGATCTGTACCCTATAACGATACCCATATATTCACGTTAACTTGTTGAATGTTCTTAATTTAAGTGTTCACTTTTCATTAAAATTAAAATAATTGTGTTAACTCGATCATTATTTAACCTCGGCACGAAAGATCATTACAATCATGTAAAATTATATGCTCTATAATATTAATGAAATCATAATGGATGGGGAGAAGAATATGCAGCGCAAGAATGTTCAAATTTTCAGGAATTTCACAGCACAGCTGACTTTATTATTAAGCTTATGGGTCTAAAATTATTTTTCATTCCACGTTGCCAAATGAAGAAGAATGAAATTTTTCTGCAAGACCAAACGAATCATGTTTTGATAATTTTCTTCAGAACTGAAGCCCCTTTTTTGTCTTCCTTAATTTAGTTGAAGCAGTCATCCAAAAGGCCTTTTTCCTTCGCGCAAATCAAAAACGACAACTCAACAGCCTTAATTGGATTCATTAGGGGAGAAAATAAACTTGTTTGCCCGGAACCGGCGGATCCTAAACTAATTGCCTCACATAAGGAGCATGTGGACGGCTTGGTGAAGATATTGCGGACGTTCTAAACAAATCTCTCGCATTCTATTGAACTGAAAATATCCCAAAACATCGCTAATTGAGTGACAATAAAATACCAGCTGATTAGTTATAAGAGAAAATTGTAGCTGAAAGTATCCCATTATATTAGCAGTAACGGATAATTTTTCGCTAATTGAGCGACAATAAAAATCAGGTGATTAGTTTTACGAGGAAATTGTTACTGATAAAAGGAGCTGTAGCTTTAATATAGAGTTGATTCCACTGACCTGTTTTCTCGGTCTTCGCATGTAGAACGTTCATGCTAAACAATATATTTGATATCGTTAAACTGTAATTTAAATTATCTCATTTCATTGAGTGAGAATTTTGAAATTAATCACCTTCACTTAAATTGAATTCATACTATTTTTTTCCAATGTGTTTTGGTTCATGAATACACAAATTAATAAAATGAATATATGTTTGATATTACCGATGGTTAACACCATTTTCTATCATTGAGCCGATTCTCAATCACCATTGAGAATGTGAGAATCCTAATCTTTGCCTGGCAAATAACGGATAATAAATGTAGCCTTCATTTAATATTCTGTTTAAGGTGCGTAACCGAAGCAGGAAATCCGGTTGGATGCATAATACACTCCAAATATTATGATAATTATTTCAGGTTAAGTTCAAGCTCAAAACTAAGTAAAAGTTCAAGTTAAAATGATCATGTAAGCAGAAATTTAGGGTACATCTTTAGCGAAACTGAACTGAGCGAAAAAAAAAATTTGGATTCACAAAGACGATGATGTTATTCGACTCGTTGAAAAAGCAATCCTATTTGCAATATTGGCGGTAAGTAGGCGATGTTATCCCTACGAGGCTCGAACGAATCGGTACAGGATGCTGATGCCTGAAACACGCCAGTCAAACAAACATATTTCAAGTGAACGAATCATAATTCGGAGCTCGAAGTACAGCTGTAAATCTTGTGAATCGGTCATAGAATACGGGTTTTGTGTGCGGCAGGAATGGGAGAAATGAATAACGTATACAAATGTTTCATTTAGCAGTTCTTCGTACACTTTATGTAGAATGAAACATAATGGAAAAATTGTAATAAACTCAACACAGCTTTAACTACGGTGCGCTTTAATAACAGCGCACTATGCAGCAGAGATTCTGGACAATATCAAAGGAGACTCCGATTCATTAAGTTTAAAATAATTACTAATCATAAATCATGTTTTGAGTGTGAATGGCACATGTTTTTGGTAACGACTCTACGATTAAAGTTTCTTATTCATTATTGAATTAAAGAACAGATTTCTTAAAAAGTTAACGAAGCCTCACCAAGATTCATCCAGGGCATCGTGAAATCTACCACCTGCTCGCGCTCATAGGTGATGGTCAGGTCACCAATGGCCAAGTCTGCCTCCTGCAAATTACACGCGAATGCATCTTCACATATTAGTGTTTAGGTTATAAAACATGCGAAAACTATATATATTAAATTAAATTTTCATGTGTTTCTGAACAAATCTATCTATTCACGATTATATATTTAATGGTGTGTGATATGATGATATGATAGGAGATAGAGGCATTAACATTTGGATCTAGAGATGATAGATCTCAAGATCTAATTTAAATGCGAAAATATACAGATGACTTGGGAGTATTGAGGTCGCGAAAGATGTAGAGATTAATTTTAAAATAGGAATTCATTGTGAAAATTCAGCTGTTTACTCAACTCTCGAAAACTCGATGGCTACATTTCAACCGGAATAAAAAAAATGCAAAGTTTTGAGCCAGAACCTGTTCAAGGAGTTCTCCTATCATGCCCGTCCACTTCTCGGTGGCAGGATCGTATTTGCCGTGTTGGCCGTCCTTCGCGAGGCGTAATGTGAAAGCAAACCCCAGCGACTTGGCAATCTCCCGCAGCAAGTCCACGCTGAAGCCTTCAAAGCGGCTATTGCCTTCCAGATTTTCTTCAGATGGTTTCAGCATCGCGTACGGGGCTGCCTGCGTATCCACGCACACAAAATCTAAACTTAAATATGAGTTGATGCCTGAAAAATCATGAAGACTTCATGAAACCAAGTACGAGATAATATTAGGTTTAATGTAGACTAGATATCTAGAACTATGAACTGGTGAAAGTTTTTGAATAACGCGTTTTTTTAATGTATTTTATGCCTACTTCAGATGAGCACAAATTAGTGTTAAGTATAATATTATGTCAACATTTGAAAAAGAAATTATCAATGAACGGCAAAACTTTGTAAACTTGTATGAATGCAACCTATTGATAATTTAAGGTATTCTTAAATCAAATATTGCGGCACTACATCCCAGGAAACAGAATAATGAGTGCGGCGTTACTTCATGCTGACGATATTATATAAGATACCATGAATATTGAGTCTCGGGTCTTTCTTCTCACGTTTGTGAGGCGCAGGAAAATTTCGTATCGCCATCAATTCTTTTGCACACAAAATTTGGATTTCAGATACCCCTTCGTGATTCTGATCCTGACTGTGATTAATCTAAAATAAATACGTTTCAAGTGTGAATAGCAAACTTCTACATGATATTTATTAAATTATAACGCTTATATCTTGAAAGCAATCGGTTTTTAAATTCCTCTACAGGATATTTCAAGAGTAACTTACGAGTACAGTCGTGGCCACAAGCGTTCTGTTGCTCAGTGGCGATAAATTCCGCTGAGAAGAATGGATGCGAGAGAACGAAACTCCTTCTTTGCCACTCCAGCTAACGGAAAAGCATAAGTTAACTCTCAACAGTACCCTGAGAAACTACATATTTGCCGAAAAAATCTATTATAAATTTATATTTTCAGCAATAATAGCGTTTTCACCACTTCGAGACTACCTCCTGCAGAGCCACATTATTGTCGAAAATATAAATACTGACGAAATAATTTTTATGACATTTTAGTGAACGCTTCTCTTACCGTCCAACCTTCATGAGCCCGGCTTTAGTCAACTCGATGACGTCCAATGCGACGTCTTTCCTGAACCCTGCCTCGTCGAAACGTATGAGTCCGCTGAGGCCACTCAGCTGAACCTGAGTTCCCATACAATGAATTTATATTCAATAATAATCACTATTATAACTTATACACTTTCCCGGAGACGTTCTGGTTGACCATTTATTTTTCCATCTTAAAGCTTGGCAGCACTCAACTGGTCATGAGTGGTTTATTATAAGCCTTCATTTTGTTGACAATAGAATCGTGACTTTTTATTTCGGCCTATTAGCTTATTTCCCCATGTTCTCCGTCTGTGTTTGTAAAATTTAGCATAAAATGTATCGGGTACTATAAATAATTTGCATAGCAAATTTTGTGAAAACCATAAAAATTGCTCATGCAATCAGAAATAAACTCATGGGAAAATATTTTTCTAAATATCAAAATGAATGATTTTCTTACCAACGCATTAAAATGAATATTTTTGTTGAAAGTAGATCAGTTCCATTTCATTCACGATTATGAAACAAGTACAATTTGAAAATATTAGCAAAATTTGATGACAGTTGACCTACTTCTAATTATCATTTCGAAAGACCAGCTAATGGTATAAAGCAAGGCAAACTGATCATGCCGAACAATGGAAATAAACAATTATATTCATAATCCGATTGATTGGAATAAAGGCCAATTTCTGCGTCATGTATTTGCGCACCCACTTCATGTACTTAGTGAGTCCACAATCAAGAAGTAATTACTTTTATCACCCGGCTAATTGGCTAGGTATTCTAATTTCTGCCATAATATTATAATAACAGATCACATATAGTGACCACGGATAAGACGCATCCAGTTCATGTACTTGGCGAGCCAGCAATGAAGATTTATAACTTTTATCACACGACTAATACGCAATGTAGGCTAATTTCCGCGTCAATACAATATATTGTATGAATATATTGTGACCATGTATGATTACGTACCCACTTCATGTACTTGGCGAGAGCGCTGCCGTGCTGCCACACCCGCTCGTCGTCACACGACAGAGGGCTGAACTCGAGGGGTCGTGACCGGCCCAGGTCATCCACAGCCGTCGCCAGGAGCCTCACGGCGTCGTACACAAGCGCCACCTCCGTCTGAAGAAATATAGACATGGGTGGTCAGTTGTTAGTGTCTGTAAAAATATAGGCATGGGTGGTCAGTTATTAGTGTCTGCAGAAACATAGACATGGGTGGTCAGTTATTAGTGTCTGCAGAAACATAGACATGGGTGGTCAGTTATTAGTGTCTGGAAAATTATAGAAATGGGTGGGCAATTATTAAATTATTAGTGTCAGAAAAAATGTAACCATGGGTGGTCAACTGTCAGTGTCTGCAAAAAGATGAACATAGGTTGTCAATTATTAGTCTCAGGAAAAAGATGAACACGGGTTGTCAATAATTATTAGTGTCAGCAAAAAGGTGAACATGGGTGGTCAATTATTAGTGTCTGCAGAAATGTAAACATGGGTGATCAATTATTAGTGAATAAAATGACGTGGTATTTGGTCAATAAAAAAGAAATGATTCTTAAGTGGAACACCGTCATATGCATGAATTATTCAAGCCAAACATGCAGAATCTGAGTGACAGAAGTTCGTACCGAAAATACTGAGAAGAAACGTGTATTCATTAAATTTCGTATTGAAATCAGTTCTTGTAAACAAAAAAAATTGATTATAATACTGATGTGTCTTTGGTTCTGAATGGGATTTTGTCGAGAAAAATTTCAATATTTATTTCAACTGAATATTGTTATTTATCAGATAAAAAAATTCGATCCATAGATCCAACCTTGCAACGAAATGACGTTCAAGTAACTATCATTATCACCGAATGAATAATAAAGTCACCTACCTACATGCCTTTGTCATTAAAACGAATAATTTCTCACCGGCAAGGACGAGACTCATCACCGAAGGAATAATAAGGTCACCTACCTACATATATTTGTCTTTGAATGTAATAATTTCTCACCGGCAAGGACGAGACGTTCAAGTAGGAGGCAGCGTCGCTGTCGACGTCGCTGTCGCCAGAGTCGCGGTAATCCTTGGACTCTTCAGGCCTCGTTAGCGCAGAGTCTGGCCCAGACGGGAAAAGATGTCGCCAACTCGGTCCAAGCGCTCCCTGTCCTTCCTATGAGTACGGGTTTATTTTATATATTAACTGCAATGTCGAGTTGTAAATGCAATGTCAATTAGCTGCAACTCAAGAGCGTCTCGTATGTGTGGAATTTTTCTCTAGGATCTTATTTAGTCTCAATCATGCGCATGTTTTTGCATAATACAGGCTTATTTTGAATGATGAAAGCAAGTAAAAAAATGATATATATTCGAGTATTAATTCAAAAGGAATAACATAAACACCAATTTAAAGAGAAAGTTTCCAAGTTTTTTCTACCCATTTATAAATGTTCAATACGCCTCCTTGTGCAATCATCTAAACGGTAGTCAAACTCGTCCCACACACAAGAAAGCATATCTTCTGTTACTGAGTGCACCGTATCAGTGATACGGTTCTTCAGATCAACCAGAGTTGCAGGTAGAGGTGCATTGGTGTATAAATTATTCATTTTGAATTGGTACTTAAATAAATACGAATTTATTAAATTGGATCCATCATTTAAAATAACCCTGTGGAATATTACGAATGTGTACTTTTTTCTCTACAGATACAGTACATGACAATAAAAATTATTATGCAACAAAAAAGGCAATTTTCAATTAACTCACGACCAGAGTCTTAATCAAATAGTGAAAATAGTAAATCTGGTTCATTACTCATCTGCTCTCCCTCTACTTTCTGAATCCACTCATGATTTCAATGACCTCCACGGTGCGACCTGGAAACCCGGTCCAAGCTTTTCTCCACGGCCTCATTGGGGAGTTTTTTGAAGACGATTGAATTGAACTGTAGAGATCAGCCTTACTAATGCAGAGAGTATAGTTTCCTGGAACTTGGTCTCTTCTCTCTTGGACTGTCTGAGATGCTCGCCTTCCTTCGATCAAAGCTCTTTTATGGATGTTGCGTCTTTGAAGACGTCCGATGGCCACGAATAACTTGTTCAGTTCTTGTAAACAAAAAAAATTGATTATAATACTGATGTGTCTTTGGTTCTGAATGGGATTTTGTCGAGAAAAATTTCAATATTTATTTCAACTGAATATTGTTATTTATCAGATAAAAAAATTAGATCCATACATCCAACCTTGCAACGAAATGACGTTCAAGTAACTATCATTATCACCGAATGAATAATAAAGTCACCTACCTACATGACTTTGTCTTTAAAAGGAATAATTTCTCACCGGCAAGGACGAGACCCATCACCGAAGGAATAATAAGGTCACCTACCAACATATATTTGTCTTTGAATGTAATAATTTCTCACCGGCAAGGACGAGACGTTCAAGTAGGAGGCAGCGTCGCTGTCGACATCGCTGTCGCCAGAGTCGCGGTAATCCCTGGACTCTTCAGGCCTCGTTAGCGCAGAGTCTGGCCCAGACGGGAAAAGATGTCGCCAACTCGGCCCAAGCGCTCCCTGTCCTTCCTATCAGTACGGGTTTACTTCATATATTAACTGCAATGTCGAGTTGTAAATGCAATGTCAATTAGCTGCAACTCAAGAGCGTCTCGTAAGTGTGGTATTTCTCTCTATGAACTAATTTAGTCTCGATCATGAGCATGTTTTCGCATAATACAGGCGTGCATTGGTGTATAAATTATTCATTTTGAATTTGTACTTAAATAAATACGAATTTATTAAATTGGATCAATCATTTAAAATAACCCTGTGGCATATTACGAATGTGTACTTTTTTCTCTACAGGTACAGTACATGACAATAAAAATTATTATGCGACAAAAAAGGCAATTTTCAATTAACTTTAATTCTTAATCAAATAGTGAATATAGTAAACCTGGTTCATTACTCATCTGGTCTCCCTCTATTTTCTGAACCCACTCGTGATTTCAATGACCTCCTCGGTGCGACCATAGAAACCCAGTCCAAGCTTTTCTCCACGGCCTCATTGGGGAGTTTTTTGAAGACGACTGAATTGAACTGTAGAATTCAGCCTTCCAATGCAGAGTATAATTTCCTGGAACTTGGTCTCTTGGACTGTCTGAGATGCTCGCCTTCCTTCGATCAAAGCTCTTTTATGGATGTTGCGTCTTTGAAGACGTCCGATGGCCACGAATAACTTGTCCTCTTGTCAGTATCTTTGAAGTTTCTCTTTTATAAATTAAAAATGATCAAGTCACTCCAAGCTTCTGTGATCTCAGTGCTGAAGCATTCAGAGGAAATCCAACAAGAAATTGCGTGTCTTTTTTATATATAAAGAACCTTGATAGACGTGAAGCGTTATCGGGAAGGAATTTATATGCAAAATTATGAGTTACTCTTGTTTTGATTTTTGACGAGTAGTCTCTCTCATTTATTTCCTTTTCGTTGATTTGAACGTTGCAGTCCCAGGTCACGCTAGTACTCAGGCCTTGTAGAGTCTCCATATGATTGCCGAACGCCTCCTGTTGTTTTCATTTGTGCGTCATGTACATAAAACACTTTACATCGATTATTGAAGATAATTTGGATATAAATCAGTAACTCTTACCTCGGCTTTGGCAATATTTTCGACGGCGAGATCTTTGAGCGCTTGTTGCAAGAGAGAAGATCCAGGGTCTATCAATCGCAGAGCCGAAATGTTGCTGCCGCCGTGACGGAACTCCCCGAGCTCCATGGTATGCAAGTCCTGGCAGCAGTAATTTGAAAAAAAAAATCGTATTATTGTCTTAAATTGAAGTTTTAGTCATCAAAAAATGTCGTGAACGGCTGATAAATACACAAAAAAATCCGTGATGAATGAATAATAAAAATTTTCCGCTTAAATAATTACTATGTGACGTTATTTACTAATGAGAAGTAAATAGTCATTGATGATATCATCATACAATACCTACTTTAAAGGTGCTTCAATAAATAATGTTATACGAAAAATGCTATTGGAAAGCGTGTTATTCTTCTCTTCTATTGACGAACAATAATGAAAAACATTTCTTTTAATTCGTGCAAACAATGAGAAGTCATTATTATAAATACATCAAGTAATATTACGGTTAAAAATAGACCATAACGCTTCAAACAAAAAGTAGCCAAAGACGGTTTTGATACACAAAGCATTAAGATAATGTAAACAAACCTATGGGAATTTAAAGAATCGTAATTTATGATTCCTAATAACGCATTTAATGGTTGGCTACACAACACTTACACACTCCTGAAATTAGACAAATTAATTTCGCTATGTAATAGATGCTACGTAAATTACAGCGATGAAAGAAAACTGATGCTAGGCCATTTCAAATATTTTGAATGAAATTTATCTTGCATCGTGTAAAATTCTATGCTTTATAATATTAATGAAATCATTAGGGATGGGGAGAAGAATTTGCAGCGCAAGAATGTTCAAATTTCGAGGAATTCCACAGCTCAGCTGATTTTATTACTAAGCTTACGGGTCTAAAATTATTTTTCATTCCACGTTGCCAAATGAGGAAGAATGAAATTTTTCTGGAAGACATTACGAATCGTGTTTTGATCATTTTCTTCAGAACTGAAGCCCCTTTTTTGTCTTCCTTAATTTAATTGAAGCAGTCATCCAAGAGGCCTTTTTCCTTCGCGCAAATCAAAAACGACAACTCAACGGCCTTAATTGGATTCATTAGCAGAGAAAATAAACTTGTTTGCTCGGAACCGGCGGATCCTAAACTAATTGCCCCGCATAAGGTGTATATGTGGACGGCTTAGAGTAGAGATTGCGGATGATCTAAACAAATCTCTCACATTCCATTGAACTGAAAATATCCCAAACATCGCTAATTGAGTGACAATAAAACACCAGCTGATTAGTTATAAGTGAAAATTGTAGCTGAAAGTATCCCAATATATTAGCAGTAACGGATAATTTTTTGCTAATTGAGCGACAATAAGAATCAGGTGATTAGTTATACGAGAAAATTGTTACTGATAAAAGGAGCTGTAGCTTTGAAAGAGTTGATTCCACTGACCTGTTTTCTCGGCGTTCGCATGTAGAACGTTCATGCTAAACAATACGTTTGATATCGTTAAATTGTTACTTAAATTATTATCTCATTTCATTGAGTGAGAGTTATGAAATAAATCACCTTCAATTAAATTAAATGCATTCAATTCCCTTTCCAGTTTGTTTTATCTCATAAATTCACCAATTGAGGGTAGCAATATATGTCTGATATTACCGGTGGTTCAAACCATTTTCTGTAATTAAACCGATACCCAATCGCCATTGAGAATGTGAGAATCCTACTCTTTGCCTGGCAATTAAATAACGGATAATAAATGTAGCTTTCATTTAATATTCTGTTTAAGGTGCATAACCGAAGAAGGAAATCCTGTTGGATGCATAACACACTCCAAATATTATAATAATTATCTCAGGTTAAGTTCAAGCTCAGTAAAAGTTCAAGTTAAAATGATCATGTAAGCAGAAATTAAGGTTACATCTTCAGCAAAACTGAACTGAGCAAAAAAAAACTTGGATTCAGAAAGACGATGATGTTATTCGACTCGTTGAAAAAGCAATCCTATTTGCAATATTGGCGGTAAGTAGGCGATGTTATCCCTACGAGGCTCGAACGAACTCACGTTAAAACGCATGCGTCTATGGCCGATGTCTTCGATTTGAGCGCCCATACAAATGTGAATTTTCTAACTAGCAATTTCCTGCCTGGCCTCTGACTGACGCACGTAACAGAGAAAAACCGCTGTTTTCTTATTTCTTTATTCCTTTAGCTATGAACACGAATTAATCATTAAGTTTCAGTATCATTTGTAAGCAAAGCTGCATTGGCATTTTAGAATGAGCTTTTTAACTCCCTGCTGATCATAAATGTACTATAGAATGAGTCAGAGAGCTTCATAGCTCGTGGAAGAAGTTGAATTGCAGATTTTTAGTAAAAATTCTGCATCTGGAACTTTCCATGCTACATAATCAGGTTGCTATATTACCTAATTTATCTTAAAATTTTGAAAATTAGATGGTCTGCTAGACAAAGTTACTTACAGTGTGCGTCACTATGATAATTCGAGATGCCGCTCTAGCTAAAGGTAAGTATGCCACAAATTAGATTTTCATCTTGCATGTTTTCAGGCATATTTAGTTTTGATAAAGTGATAGTGATAAAGATCGCAAGCTTGTGAAACTTTTTGCTAATTTTAAACTAAGCTTAATTTTGGTGACCTGGTTTAATTTAATTAGTTGGCGCTAGTAACAAGCACACACGAGTCAAGTGACGAAGTAGTGGTGGTAAGAGGTCATCATGTCGGTCAAATGAAATGGAGGTATGTCTCAAATTGTTCAATCATCCAGCATATTATCATACATATTAAGCTTTGATAGACACACTCTCTGATATCAGTGAACTGACTATTTTGCTGCTAAGTTAGATTTAACGAACACTTACGAGTGAAGTGATGAAGTAGTGGTGGTGCTAACAGGTCATCATGTCGGTCAAATGAAATGGAGGTATGCCTCAAATTGTTCAATTATTCAGCATTTTATCATACCTATTAAGCTTTAATAGACATACTTTCTGATATCAGTGAACTGACTATTTTTGCTAAGCTAGATAAAACCTAACGAGCACTCACGAGAGAAGTGATGAAGTAGTGATGGTAAGACGTCATCATGCCGGTCAAATGAAATGGAGATATGCCTGAAATTGTTTAATTGTCCGGCATATTATCATGAATATTAAAATTTAATAGGCATATTCTCTGATATCAGTGAACTGACTATTATTAATAAGTTAGATCTAACGAACACTCACGAGTGAAGTGATGAAGTAGTGATGGTAGGAGGTCATCATGCCGACCTGCTGCGCCTGTCTCAACACCTCCGTGACGTGCAGGCGCTCCACGTCCAGCACGACGTGGCTGCTGCCGCTCTTCTTGCACTCCTTCAGCAGCGGCCTCGACATAGAGGACATAAGTGAAGTTGTATTTAACAATCGCGTAATTACCTTATCATCAACACCTTGTAAGCACACACACACGTGTCATAGAAAGTCTATACTAGCACACAGACATTACAAAGAAAGTCAGTATTACAAATTGTTGTCCTTATTATGAGGTGAACGAATAATTTATGAATTCATTGATTGTTGGCGAACAATTTTATTGTATAACTTAACTTATGTTCTTGTTCTTTTTATCAGATTCTCCAGGTCAAATTGATAGACAAGTTGCACGTGAAACTTGAGGCCATCGTCAGAATCTCATATACCTACATAAGTAATATGTTCCAGAGACTATATTTAAAAAAACACAAAATAACTTAATTAGATAGCACTACGGACACAAATAACCTAAAATTATTTAATGGGATTGTTTTTTTACGTTTCTGTATCGTAAACCAGGGATGCCAATGAAAAAAAAAACACTAAAATCGATTTATTACAATAAAGTAAGCATATAAACCAACTATGGTATAATAGTCGAACATGCCATTCTGTTTTCGAACGGTTTCATTTTTCATCGTTTTGTTCGAGATCCTTTCGAGGCCACAACGTTGTATTGATCAATTGCAGACGGAACTTAGCCATTTGATATTGATTTGATTGTCCGTAGGTTTTCCAGAGTTACCAAATTCGAAATTGAACTATTCCCTGGAGTGAGGTCAGAAACCGCGGATTCTAATTATTGTTGCTATGGAGTAACAATCTGTGTTGTAAACATGATGCCTTAACACTACAATCCTACCTGAAGTCCCCCGACGTAGGCAGCTGCCTCAGTGAGATCCTAAAGAGATCATCCTTGAGAAGCTCCTGCACTCGCACGAGGCCCTCGACGCTCTCATATATGATGGTGAACTTGCTCCAGCCTAGACCCCGCAGCACCGAACTGTACGCCTGGCGAATAACATTAACTTTTCTCAAAAATACTTTACGTTTTTTCTTGCAATTTAGCCTTTCAATACAAATTTAATGAGGAAAGTCGTAATATATGATATATATTACGATAATAGTGGAATGTTCGTATTTAGTAAACTGAGTTGAAGAAGTATCATGTGTCGGAGGTATAATGGTAAACAAATGATGAATAAAACGGATAAATAAAAACTATAACGTTACGAACAAACAACCAATAAAAATGAAGTCATGAGTATAACTGACTGTTCTCTTTGCTCTTGTTCTTTCTTTGGACTCAAGATTCGGAGCCTTTCTGCAATTAAAAAATAAACAAGAATTTAGAACTAGCAATATTTGAACAACAGAAAGCAGAATATAATGAAAACAAGAAAAATAAATAATAGACTGATAATCATAATCATGAACACTTCTAAATACCACCACTGAATTAAAACAGGCAGCTGTTACAAAAATAAACTCGCAAAAAATAAGTGCCGAGCATATCTGACCGAGGACACGTCCGAGGTGACTTATAACCAAAAATCAAATTATCCAGCTGTAATGAAACACTATTGCACAGCGTCCCCTAAGCCTAGTGTAGGTCAACTACTTTAGCGAGCGTGGAGGGGTGGGGAGAGAGAACGATGGAGTAGGGGCTCCATTCGAGGGGGTAGTAAACCTACCTTAGCGAGCGTGGAGGGGTGGGGGAAGAGGTTGATGGAGTAGGGGCTCCAGTCGAGGGGGTAGTAAGCGCGGGTCTGGATATGCGGCACTTGCTTGGCGGCGCACATGGACTGCACGTGGGCGCAGCTGTGGCTCGACTGAGGGCCCAGTATTGCTGCTACCCCGGACCTTAGAATTTGGCAAGCTATAGAAAAAAATGGAAAGTTGATGTTTTTTGATAACACTCAATGGAAGTAACAATACTAAAAAGACACTCATGAGCTTGACCGTGACGTTCAATCATCGTATCAATTCTTGTGCACATGGCTGCATTTTTAACCGATCCGTAATGTGAGTGCATAACTTTGAATGATGTTTTGGCAAACGAGATAATTTGACAATTTTAGTTAATTTTTCTAGTAAGTGTATGCAAACCCGGCGATATTATTTGGCTGAAACAACTAGCTATGCTGCAGGATCGTAAGTTTTCCTTTCGGTGGAATTTGATTTCAAAATTAATATGTCCGACATTAATGATTAGACAACTAATGACAATCATCAGTGAAGAAGTTTGAAGTGATACCTTGAATGGCCCCTCAAGTTTCAGCAAGGAAGTTATATCATAATTATTGATCACGCACCTCGTTTATAATATCGTAATTAGTACGCGCCTTTCTTTTAATGTCATAATTAGTAAGCACCTCTCTTTTAATGTCATAATTAGTACGCATCTCTCTTTTCATGTCATAATAATTACGCACCTCTCATGTAACATAATTAGTACGCACCTCTCTTTTAATGTCATAATTAATACGCACCTCTCTTTCAATGTCATAATTAGTACGCACCTCTCTTTTTCATGTCATATCAATTACGCACCTCTTGTAACATCATAATTAGTACACACCTCTATTTTAATGTCATAATTAGTACGCACCTTTCTTGTAACATTATAATTAGTACGCACCTTTCTTGTAACATCATAATTAGTACGCACCTCTCTTGTAACATCATATTTAGTACGCACCTGTCATGTAACATCATAATTAGTACGCACCTCTCTTGTAACATAATTAGTACGCACCTCGTTTTCATTGTCGTAATTATGTCTCACCTCGTTTAGCGGCGGCGAAGGAGTCCCCCGGTGCGACAGTTTCCACCTGCACGGACAGTCTGGCGCGGGCCAGCAGCTGCCGGTCGCTGTTCACCGCCTCCACCGCCGAGCGGAACGCCGCATCCTGACGCAGATCTGGCCGGTCGAACAGCCCCCCTGAACCAAAAAATTGTTAGACGAGCGCTTCCTTAATTTTGAACATCGTATTTTCAACAGGTGTACAGGCAACCTGAACCAAAAAGAAGTTAGACGAGCGCTTCAAAATTTCGAACAACGAATAATCAACAGGTGTTCAGGGCACCTGGACAAAGATGATGTTGCAGGGCGCGTGCACATAACAACAGCTCTGCATAACATGGAGGTCAAGACTGTCCATGATGTTTAAGTCCGCACAGACACCATCGAATCATTTACCAAATACACACTGAAAAAATGAACAACGAATAATCAACAGGTGTTCAGGCCACCTGGACAAAGATGATGTTAGACGATCATTTGATTCATTTCTAAATTTAGAATAACGTATTGTCAACTGCTGCACTGCCCCCCTGAACAAAAATTAAAATAGACAAACGTTCCTAAATTTCTAACCTCGTATTGTCAACAGCTGGACATGCCACCTGAATGTGGTCTAAGTTATAAGAGCGTCCTTAAATTCAGAAGCACCATTTTACCGCAAATATGCGTCCATAATGCTTTTAGCTGTGTATAAGCTTCAGATGTACCCTCGACCTTATTTTATCTAAGGAGCTTCAAATTTTTATCTGCTGTTCTTTTGCTCATTTTTCAATTTTCAATATGCTCGGGCATGCTCTTTAACAGTAGAAATACTTGCATCTTTAACAACGTATGTGCTTGCAACAGAATCACAGCTTCAAACAAAAACATTGTTAGACGATAATTCTTAATCATTGTCATCTTTCTTTCTGCATATGCACCGCTGCTGAACAATATTGATATTGACTGTTTGTTCTTAACGCCGATCACTCATGTATTTACTTTTTATGGCACCCTACTTGGCCCAAGAAATCATTTTGCTATGAACTACAAGTATAAAAGCAACATTTCACGCATTTCATGTAAGCTTCAAATTTTTCATTTCCTCTCATGGAGATACCTCACGTCCCGGCACCGCGACCACATGGCCCGAACATTGTGTTACTCTGTGCAGCCAGCCACCTTGTGGATGCTTGGCTCGGATATATTAGCCTACTTTATTGGTTTAAGAACCAAAATTTTCTGCAGCATCTGAACTATGCACCTGCTCCCGTTTTTGTCTTGGGGCCCTCGTATGCCCTCGAAAATTGTTCGAGTGTGTTGCGCATGCTGCAACTTGACAAATTAACTGTGTTGTGCTATGCATTAAATTTAATCTAGTGTCTCATATGCTGGTATTTCAAGCCAACACGACACACGTGTAATTCAAACACATATATATAAGTTCTCACTTTCTCTATCTAGGGCCCATCTAGCGCGCGCCTACATGTTAAATATACAGCAATAAATTTCTATCTCTGTAAAATTTGGGTTCGTATGCTTTCTTCAATATTCCTATCATCATATGCAATAGCAACCGGAATATAATAATGTATAAACGATGAAATCACTTCATTACCTAGAAGTTACTAATTCGAGAGTTGGAATAAATTGAATCAGAAATTAATATTTGGTTATAGCGGTTACATTATACGCACATCCGTTTAACTTTACATGTGTAATAGTTTACGTAAATTTTCTGTTAAAATGAACAATGGAATTTGGTAGCATGAGAAGGGAAGAGGTTGAAAATTTTGAGATGCAAATCAAATGATTATTTTGTGAACATCCAATTTATTAAATTCCTTCCTACTTCGGTCACCTGACCTAATCAATACTTTCCCCTCACACTCTTCATATGGCATATCAAATTAATGTTTTTTTTATTGTCTAATATACATATTTTCTTGTTTATATCGATGTAGGGGCACTTCTTGATTGGCAACCTCAAGTAACAGATGAACACACTGTCTCATGTATTTAAAACTCTATAAAAAATGCATTTTCGTTCAACATAAAGTCGTCCAGGAGGCCAAGCTAATCATACTACACTGTACAGGATGTCCATAAAGTCAGGACACATGGGATACTTGAATATTTTTGTGTATAATTAAAATTAATTTATATTTTCACTCTTTATTTTATTCAAATAAAATCTTCAATATGAGCGCCATCATTCTTTTGTCAAAGCCATAATTGATCTGTGGATGCAAAAATATATATTAATAATTTTGTATACTATTTTGAAAAATAATAACTTTACTATGTGTAAAGACTCTATGGTTACCCTGTATATCTAAACAAACAGAAATTGAACAAAGTGAAAATCGCTTCATAAAACTTCACACGTTGAATAATTGCATTACATTAATACTTATGATGAACATCCAACATTTTTCTGTGCATCTAACTTCTTTTGCGCGCAATTCCCATGAATTTGATCATCATTCCGCGCTCTGAACAGACACTTGCTTTGACAGGGACAAAATAGAGCAGATGATGTATGCATGGGCTACCAGAGCTTCTATAAAATCCGTAGCAACGTTTGTTTTCCTCCAGAAATCAGTTGGTGAATCCTATCACTTGATCCAATATGTTTTCCAGTGCAACATCGTATGTAGGTGCCACAAATTCGTCCTGCAGAATTTGCATGTTTAGCTCTAGTTTCAGGTTTCAGGAAAACTTAAGAAATTGTAAAAAAAGGCCTTTTGACAAATTAAACAACATAATCAATAAATATTTGTGAAAACCCGAATAAGGAAAAGTATTATGAATGGGTATGTAATTTCTTAGATCAAATATTATTCACTATAAATCAAACAAAAGCGTGCCTACTTAATTATTGATTTGATCACCTACGCAAATAATATTAGGCAAATGTCTTACTCATAGCTTAAATTTACTTATATCTCGCCATAGTTATTTTCAGTGAGTATTATCATCGCATTATTCTGTCATTCGGATGAGCCATGTTTCCACAGTCACCTCATCGTACGGCGGCTCCTATTAAACTCGCCCCCGGAAAATCATACCTGGCATGATCTCTGGCTGATGATAAGTATATTAATTGTATTTATAAACAAGTTTATGCCTCATCAGAGGATCTGCTGTACAAGCAGCTGAAAAAATTATGATTTCATTCCTGTCCAGCTCGTAAATTGTATATTGTTTAAATTAGAATAAACCAAACTTATTTCATCAAGTAAGTTATTTCTAGTAAGTGAAGCTGTAGGAAAATAGAAGAAGCATTAGAAAACAAAAACGGAAGCTCTGAACTCCGATTTCAAGCTGTGATTGCTGTTATTTATTTGAAAATTCTTACGCGATCGAAGAGCACATATGCTGACCCTACGTGCTCCTCCGTACCGAACTTTGATATGCCACATAATTATGGTATTAAATATTTAATATCGATATGTCGATCTTCCATACCGAACAGCTACCTGTACCCCACTTACGATCAATTATATGAAACTACAACATCTATTTTAAGAGATGCTCATTACATATTTTTATTCGGTAAGTGCTGAATATTAATCAAAAATTTTATCAGATTTCATTTTCATGTTAGTGAACGAAATTTCCTACGTTCAAGAAGATACAACAGAAACAACGTCGAGAAAGGAAAACACAACGGCGTTGGCCTGATCTTTTCATGGGGGGCATTTAGGGTGTTCAAATAGATATTTTGAAGCCGTCCCGCCAGACTGGCGTCCAGGCACGAAGAGATCAGTTTAGCTTCCATCAGGAAGTGTTAGGGTGAAGCATTCATTTTAAATCGTGCATCTCGGTCCATGATAAGGATTTGTCAGTTAGTTGAAGATATCAGTCAGGTTAGTCAAAGCGTTTGAGAAATGAAATAGGTAAGCTTTAGTTAGAACTCCACGAACCAACAAATAAAGTGGAAGAAATAGTATATATTGTTCAGAACCGATCATGTGCACTAAATTTTGGAAAAAAAAAGATTACGACTGAAGTTTTCCTCGCACGTGAGCAAGGCGTGACCGAATGGTTGGTTGAGTTTTCCAGGAAGAAGCTCTACTTAGTTTACTTGTATTAATACATGATTTTTCCTGTGGCTTCAGCTGTACTGGGTTTAAGAGGGGAAATAAGCTACTAAGTTTAAATAACTTCTATCATTCGCTTGTTTTACCAGCAACTTTTAAAAGTAATACATTTCATAATATAGTTTGGAAATTTAAACTAATTTTGAACTTCAAAACTCTTTAGGCTGAAGATTTTGGAACATTAGCGTTTAAAAGCAAAATACTGCCATTTCTATCATCTGGCTTAAATGGTTTTAAGCTTCAAATTTTTTAATAAACGAAACATGAAATTTTTTCGGCTATTGATTCTGTTCACTTTCTATCTGTTTTTCGTGGGTAAATAAAGCATCGCAACGATACTTTGTTAGAAAGTTCATTTATTCTCTTAATTTAACATGGACTTAAACTTATAATTTTTCTTTAAAGTGCTTTCGGCTTAGGTAACCTTCTGCAAATTTGTTGTACTCACCGATTCTGATGACGTCAGCAGCATGCGAAGTTTTAATGAAGATGACGACGAACGCAAGGAGTAGCACCCGCCCGATGTGAGGGAGACGCTGCTCACGGGACCGGCACATGGCGAGTAATGGACGCGCTCTGTTGAGCTGTTTTCTTGGGGCCTCTCGAAGGTACTGAAGAATATCGATGTTAGGTAATTTTGTCGTATTTAATTAATGACCGTCCTCTGTTGAATTAGCTGTTTTTTGGAGCCTCACGAAGGTATTGCAGTGATGACCGTTCTTTGTTGAGCTGGTTTCTTAGGTACTCACGTACGTATTGAGGTAATGATAATTCTCTGTTGACTTGGCTGTTGTCTTGGGTCCTCACGTAGGTATTAAAGTAATGACCGTTTTCTGTTGACTTTGCTGTTTTCTTGGAGCCTTGCGTTCAAGTAAAATTGACAATTATTACATTATCTTCCTGAAGTTAAAGCCACAATCATTGTTAATATTTTCCAGTAAAATTAAAAATTCTATTTTTAAAATTACGAATGGTCCGGCACTGTTTTAGAACAGTCTTAAATGTACATATCGATGCGGGATGGTCTGGTACCGATGCTGGATGCTCAGAAGCCGATACCGAATGATCTTGTTGCGAGAGTTTGTTTTACTCAATATATCATGGTATTTTATTTTCAGTACTTTATTACGTACAACTATCGCACGTCTCTTCATTTGACGTCGTGGAACAATGCATTCGACTGAAAGTATGAAGACTATATTATTCTATTAATGCACAACACAGTTCGACGCATATGGATAACATATACTTAAATTGGGCTTAAATGCGATTCCAAACGCAAATTTATTATTTAGCTTTCAAAATGTTCCAATAATTCCTCAATAATGTTCTAAAAGCAAGCGTTAAATAATTGAAATTTTTTACTTAAATACGGCAATTTACTCTGCCCTAGGGACTTCAACTCAAAAATTAAAAAACTCCGATGAGGCTGGCATGGTCGAGTGTGCACACCAATAATCCGCAGTCTTCAGTGAACTTTACTTTACAAAACATAACTCTACAATACCTAAACTTTAAATAAGGTCCTCTACATATTTTATTGAATCTCATCCTCCTAATAGAGAACCATTTTACATCATGCGTATTTGAAACTAGCACAACGCTTATCATGACTGAATTACACAAGACTCTGTTGTGAGTTTCTTTTCATCTGAATATTTGCAGTTAATGTCTCAATTCCCACTAATTTAGTCTGCAAGCTTCCTGAAATTGATGTTGTATAACATGTCTTGATGATGAGTTATAATATGATTTGATGGAGTAGTGAACACATGTTTTTTACGTACGCGTGTATTGAAATTTAATTGTGACTCTTCTAATGAGCTATCAGTCCAGTTGTCTATTTATGTTCCATTTGAGTAAAAATTTCAAATTTGCTGATGATTTTGATAGTTCAAATAAAATTTTTGAAGGCAAATGTCTCTTGGCAAATGTCTGATGTCTTGTCCAGGCATGAGTTACGCCTGGCAAAGTGGTAGGTGAGCCATACAGTCTTCTATTCTGTGTTATTCGTTCCTGAAAAAAATATCTTTCCTTTTTGAACTGATTTTCAACTCGAAATTGAAAAGTCTGATAATGCTTCTCAATGTTATCAAATATAACCATGAATTAGTATCATGTGAAGAGATGGATTTTTCCTATATGCATTTTCTAACGACTTTCATTGAAGTAAGACTATTTCAAATGAATTAACGGCGAGTATAACGGCACAAACTGTTATTTTGTTGAACAATTTTGTGCGAAAATTGCTCATCAAAGGCATTAATGGAAACAAAAAAATTAAAGTTCTCGAATTCAAATGAATTAAATACGAGTAGATCATCACTTTGTACATATTATTATAATTAGATTCAAAGATTTATTACTCCCTGCTACAACAGTATTAATATCAAGAGAATAAATTAAACACGGGGCTTTTGATTCTAAACTGCCGGTACTTTTCTTAGAAATAATTTAATAGCAGTCAACATTCATTAAAACAAATATTTTGCTCCTCAGCCGGAAACTATGGATCTAGTGTCAAATCTTCATAGAGTGGGCAATCAAGTAATCTTTAACGCCAGTTATTTCAAGTTTATCATGATAAGTACATATAGTTATAGTAATATTCCCGAAACACAGTCTAAAGAACTTGATTTCCTTGTTTCGGTTTCTTGTTCAGCGGCAATGTAGGAAATTTTGGAAGAAAAAAAGGTAACTCTGAAAAACGACCAGCCTTTTGCAACCAATGTTATGCATTAGTAAGTACTTGATAATGTGTATTTCAATTTTACTATGCTTTCGTAATATTCATCTATACTTGTTTTAACTTTCCTCTTAATAAAAACATAAAATGAATAAATAATTGTGAGTAGATTTTTCGCGCATTTTCTCATTTATGAAAAAATGCACTATTGTGCTCGCCATGTCCGTCTGTCCGTCCGGCCGTGACTTCAAGTTTTCGTCGACGAGAAAATGCGCTCTCAGTTTTCACTCGAGTGAAAAATATAACAGGATTACCTGACCTGTAAACAATTTGTATTTGCTCTATATCATAGAAGAGATGAAAACAGAAATATCAATATTCAATATTTCCCAGATACATTGTGTGTTCTGTAGATCAAAGAGATATAGAATAATGCAGTATTTACCGAAAAATTTTGTGAATATTGTAAATGATACCAGCGAAGAATTGAGCAGTAGTTGCCAAAGTATTTCGCGTACCCTGTAAATCGGTTACCGATGTAGCCCCATGAATTTGACGAGCTCTGCCCTCGATAGCGGTGCAAACCTCAATATTGACTTTCATTGCCGTCTCCATATTGCAGCTTGCCTTATCATACCAACTTATTGTTAGAAACCAGCCTCCAAACCACTCGAATTTCCTACACAAACTTGTAGCATCAATTCCTGCCCTCCTCACTGCAACCCCTGAACTGGTGGCAAAATTAAGTTCTCTATTTTCTGCTTGCTTCAATTGTATTTTGCATTACGGATGCACCTTGAAATGTGTACGATGGGGTTAAAATATATATATTAATATTTTAGAACTATTAACTATTCTTCTTGGGTATTGGTTGAAAGTCGCACCCAAATTATTACCCAATAAAAATTCAATTCCTTTGTTTCATTAGTTTGAGATATATTATGTCAATTTTGCCTTCAGAACCCGTTTTGAGGATCCTCTAATACCAATTGAAATATCCTATCATTTTTATATGTTCTCGCTTAGCATAACCCCTCGAAAAAATAGCCAGTCTAGTTCAGATGATTCATGTGACTATCCAGCCCGGTTATTTTGACTTGCCGTTCCAATTTTCCCATTTCAAGAGAATGAAATAATCTTCGAAATAATACCATTTTATTGTCTTGAATCTGCTATGAAAAAATTGTTTAAGTTGGCCCACATATTTCCTGGCTTCGTTTATGCACATTGATACGTAGTTTTACGATAGAGGTCTCATGCTTGCAGCAACATTGGAAAATGCATGAAACGCTAGTTGTTGTTCTTTATTGTCTATATATCATGTTGAGCGCATTTGAAAATTTTTAATTGCAAACTAAAGTTTCCATTTGCCCCGTTTTCCATTTTTTTCGTTATACTATATTTTTATTTACGATATTTGTTGAAAAAAGGAACAATTGTTTTCCTACTTTGCTGGTTAAGCCGTATAATGTTCAACCAACGACGCCAGCATTTCCGAAACCTCGATCTTCATTCATTAAAAATTCACACGATATTATTATTTTGATGTGGTCGGTGAACATGATTTGAGAACTGCTTTTTACTGTTAGAAAAATCTAGTATCCCTGAATTCTAAATCCTGAGCAGTGTCTCATGTCAATTTTGAAAGTATGGCCCCAGGGCTTGATATATTCTTGGCAGTTATGTGGATATCATTGTTTTTAGTTCTCAACTATATTCCTGTATATCGTAAAAGCTAAAATTACAATTTATTATCTCTTATTTGAGTTGTTTATGTGAAAGTTGGATCAAATTAATTGAGTTGAAATATTTCAAACGAAATTAGAACGTTGAGTAATTGCATCAATGTGATCAACATTCTTAAGCCTTGCTAATTACCCATGAAGACGAAATTGCTCCAAGCGATATTTTTCTGGACTCTAACCTCTGACAAAATTCGGATTTAATTCACTTGAGATTTTGAGAGAAATTGAGCTTAAATTTTTACATAAATTGTGCAATTCATTAAACAACAAGCAAATAAAAATGAAACGGTTCTAAAAATAATAAGAATTGTATGAATCGCTTTGGTACAATTGGGTCACATATTTACATAATCGAAGGAAATTAGTGTTTAAAGTTCAACAGGGACTTGAATTGTGAAGAATATTCCTTCCTCATCAGAAATAAATTGCCTCAATTTCAAAAAAAATCCAACTCGAAAATCACCATGTTCAAACATGAACACAAATCCCTCACTCTACGGATATTACAGCTAAGATTTAATTACACATTTTGTCCCAGTCTCATTTCAGAATTTCATGATTTCACTTTAGATAAAATTAACTTTTACTCACTCAATTGTTAACATCTGTCATTCATAAATTCATAACATGGAGAAGTTACTCCTATTTTTTTATTATTGTCGTTACTGTTCTCTTTATGGTAAATCGCTGACAGTTCACACTGACTATTAGATTCAATATTTCATCTTTTGATTTTTTATATGGAAGACACGCTAGAGAGTTCACGGCTATGTCACGTTATGTCCAAGAGACTTCAGATTTTTTAGGATGAGTTTTCTGTTCACAAACGCATAAATATTAGAACAGCAGATGTTAGTTTACCAAAAGTGAAGGCCAATTAGTTTGCTTGATGAATCACAATTTATCATCAATTTTCAATTATGTTGATAGGCGGATGCTTCTTTGCTTACAGGGGTGAGGCCGTTGGAACCTGTCACTCACTTGTCATCCCGTCCATAATTTCGATATTTATCATTCACAAGTTGATAATTCGTTTAGTGTTAGCTGTGTTTTCGGATTTCAAGCTATCCCTTGTCGCCTCTAACTCTTCGAGATCCTCCTGTCGTTCGCTGGGATTTTTTGCCAACTACTGTAAAATTTCACCACTTCTCTTTGACAAATCATTTTTCTTTTTCGTTGG